TGGACATGTCTCAGTCCATCACAGAGACACCTGGACATGTCTTATTCCATCACAGGGACACCTGGACATGTCTCAGTCCATCACAGAGACACCTGGACAGGTCTTCAGTCCATCACAGGGACACCTGGACATGTCTCAGTCCATCACAGAGACACCTGGACAGGTCTCCAGTCCATCACAGGGACACTTGGACATGTCTCAGTCCATCACAGAGACACCTGGACAGGTCTCCAGTCCATCACAGGGACACTTGGACATGTCTCAGTCCATCACAGAGACACCTGGACAGGTCTCCAGTCCATCACAGAGACACCTGGACATGTCTCAGTCCATCACAGAGACACATGGACATGTCTCAGTCCATCACAGGGACACCTGGACAGGTCTCAGTCCATCACAGGGACACTTGGACAGGCCTCAGTCTACCACAGGGACACCTGGACAGGTCTGAGTCCATCACAGGGACACAAACAGAGACATACAACTGTCCACCCTTTCAGTCACAACTAGAGTCACACAGAAGCTCCTGAAGGTTTTAAAACTGAGAACTCTGAGATCTGAGTTGTAATCACTTATTAACAATCATCATATCAACCATGGTCCATTATTATTGATCATTTTTGCTGTTTACATTTAAATAAATGTCAAATTTGTTCTCATATTTCAGACTTTCAGGTGTACTACTTGAACTTGTGTTGTGTTACACTGCACAATGCATCACTCACCTTTTTAACTCTGATATGTGATTGTTTGCATCAACAAGCTTGTTTTCTGTAGATATAAGGCTGTTCTGTAGAGTAAAAAACAACAACATGAAGTTGAACAAAGGAGAGACACTCAGAGAGGTCATTTTCCTTCTCTGTGCTGGTATTATCTGGCATATTTCAAAGACTCATTGTAATTTATTAAGATGTGAATAAAGTTTAGACAGATTTTACCTTCACTACCTCGTGCTCTTTCTTCAAACAGTTGTGTTCTCTGAGAAGCTAAAGAAACAAAACCAGTAAGTCTAAAATATATAAAAACATAGCACACTTACACAGTATCTGAAGGGGCTAAAACTGTGGAAAACAAGTGGGTGTTTGAGTTTATTTTAGGGGGTTTATAAATTTTATCAATTAAGTTTGAAACATCTGTTGGAGGGGTGCAAAACTGACTTTGAGCTTTATATATAATAATAATA